AAATTCCCAACTTTGTATATCTAAAATGGTCTTAGTAGAATCCAATAAATTTTCCAATTTGTCATTAAACTTTATCATGGAAGAATGAACATTTCTGAGACAAGATTGTCTTGAGAAATTGCTTCTACTCTAGCTGGTTATCCGTAGTTTGAAAGGACTATTGTGAAGCTAAGTGTTACAGTTCTACAATGCCCTTCTTTGCTTGGAGCTAATTTTAGCTAATCAACTTAACATTTTCTGAAACCATTTGAAACTAAAAAAAAAATAGAACCCTGTTAAAAACTTTTGGGGAAAGCGAAGATACTAATTTCATTATTCAGTTCAGTGTAGTAGATCTCAAACTCAACTTTTTATTTTTAAAAATGCATGTATTTATTGCATTTTTGGAGGGGGTGTGTCTTCCTTAGCAATGGTCAAGGAACCTGGTCTATTCCTGATAACAGTCAGTCTACTCAGTCAGTTCCAGGGCTAAGCAATGTGGTACAGCTGGGCTCCTATGGTAGCACTGTAGCCCTGTCCTCCCGTTGTTCATCATTTGCTCGAGCGGGCCCAGTAACGTCTCTATTTTGAGACTTGTTGTTACTGTGTTTGGCATATCGAATACGTCACGGGGAACTTGCCAGGCTTTGCCGAGCGGCGAGATACTCTTGGTAGCTTGCCGGGCTCTCGAGAGGGGTAGAGGAATCAAGCCCGGCTCCGCTGGGCTGGCTGTGCGCAAGGCAAACGCCCTACCACTGTGCTGTTGCTCCAGCCCAGCCCTCCTATGGTACTTCAAACAGTTTGGGCCTTACCTAGAAGTACTTGGGGCAACATGTAATGCCAGTGATCAGATAAAGCTCATTATATGCAACATTTGCATCCTGGCCACTATGCTGTCTCCCTAGCGCCGTATTACATCTTTAAAAGCTGCTGATTTCCCTTTAAGATACAAATATGTCCTGCTTAAATGTTTATTACTTTTACCAAATTTTTTACATGTTTTAAAAAGATAAGTAAATTAAACTCAGTTTTAAAAGTAAACTGTAATGCTTAAAGAACTGCACTGTCTGTAGCACTGTCCTCCAGTTGTTCATCAATTTGCTCAAGCGGGCCCAGTAACATTATGAGACCTGTTGTTACTGTGTTTGGCATAGCGAATATGTCACTTCCAGGTAGCTTCCAGGCTTTGCCATGCGGGGCAGATACTCTCGGTAGCTTGCTGGGCTCTCTGAGAGGGGTGGAGGAATCGAACCCTAGCTCGGCCGGGCTGGCTGGGTGCAAGACAAAAGCCCTACCAGTGTGCTATGGCTCCACCCCAGCCCTCCTATGGTATTTCAAGCAATTTGGGCCTTACCTAGCAGTACTGGAGGCAAAATCACTGTAATCAGTTCAATTAGAGTAGGAAAGGTCCATTCTATGTACACATTACTCTAATTGTATATCAGATATAGACTAGGTAAATCTTCACACGAATGTTTATTAGGAGGTAATTCTGTTTAGAAAGGTTATGTGACATATAGCTAATGTGACTTCTATCAATATGACTAATCGAGACTAATATAAATGATTCATGATTCATTCATGCTAATTGTGAGAGAATTTTGGATAAAATCTTTTTCTTCAATTAAATGGATTCTTTGCCTCTAGGAAAGTGTTATTTCCTTTGAGATTGCTGAGCTTATAATTGTAACCCTGAACATTTTTATTGTTTTCTTTATTAGTATCTTGATATCTGAGCAGAAGAAATAATTTTATAGCACAAAAAGAAAGTAATGAAATATTGTTTAATGAAGTATAGCGTGCTACCCAATACTTAGGTATAGCACGGTCCTCCTGTTGTTCATCGATTTGCTCGAGCGGGCCCAGTAACGTCTCCATTCTGAGACTTGTTGTTACTATATTTGGCATATTGAATACATCACGGGTAGCTTGCCAGGCTTTGCCATGCAGGCGAGATACTCTAGGTAGCTTGCTGGGCTCTCCGAGAGGGGTGGAGGAATCAAACCCAGCTTGGCTGGGCCGGCCGCATCCCAGGCAAATGCCCTACTGCTGTACTATATAAGATAAAATGATCCATAGTCCAATACCACTTAGTTCTCCCTGCCATTGCCATTTTGTCATTAGGTCACTTGCTAATAGCAGGAGAAAATCAGGGCCAGTTGTAATCATGCAGAATAGTCAATCTTACTATAGAATATCTGAAAATGACATTAGCCATTCTTACCTTTACAATGCCAAGTAATAGTCATCATAATAAAAAAAATCATAATAATAGCACGTCCCTTAACCTTTTACCTGGCAACATCCTCTTGATGCTCAGAATGTAATGCTCAGTGCATGTGATCATAGGACTTCCAATAAAGAAATTGACTAGGTGCTCTCATAAGGCCAGCACAGGATTGGGAAGGATCTACCAAAAAAGACCCAGGTGAACTTAGAAATTATTGTCAGATTAAAAAATCTTTGGCCAGAAAGATAGTAGAGGGGTTAAGATGTTTAACTTGCATACAGATACCCTCAGTTTGATCACAGATACCACCAGGGCTGACCCCAGAAAACCAAGAGCACCTCTGAACACCAGTAGGTGTGACCGAAAAGAGCAAAAAGAGATAGAGAAAAGGATAAGAATCATTGCTACCCAAGGAAACTCATGGCAAGTAGCATCAACCAATAACTGATCACCATTTTGTAAAAATGGTTCACCTATTGTTTATTGTTAAATCCCTAATATATATATGTGCTGCCGAAGCGAGGACTGGAGCGATAGCACAGCGGGTAGGGCGTTCGCCTTACAAGCGGCCAACATGGCCGCCCCGAGTTCGATTCCTCCGCCCCTCTCGGAGAGCCCGGCAAGCTACCGAGAGTATTCGATATGCCAGACACAGTAACAACAAAGTCTCCAATGGAGACGTTACTGGGCCCGCTCGAGCAAATCGACGATCAACGGGAGGGCCTTTACCCTAATATATACCACAGTGCACATCATGATAGCATAGGAGCTGTTTGGTAATTCAGTTTGTCAGTCAGTGAACATATGCATAAAGTAATTAAACGTCGAATTCAAAAATGGGTATGTTAAATCACATATTCTTGAACATACTTTGTTCTTGTAATGAAAAATAACCCGCTAAGCTTAAATATGACTTTAGTAGAACAAATAATATAATCCTTGTATGCTTTGGCTCACACATGACAAGCATGTGCATGAAAACAGGAACAAAATTAAAGGACTGAAAAAATAAGATGTGGGGGAGTCAATAGGATAATGAATTTCTAGATCATGAATGTTATTTTGTAGACAGAGTGTTCATTCTTTTCCCCAAAACTTCCATCACGTAGTCATAGTTCTAGTATCCTCTGCAATGATATACTAAGGAGATTAGACACTGCTGATACAACATATGAATACAGTTGATTTTGTTATTTTATTTGTAGTTCTTAGATTAAACAGATTTTGATGTATTTTACACCTTGAAAGCCTAAAAGCTATGAGTTTTATTACTTCAGAAGAAATAGATGCTAAAATTTGAATCAGTATATAGTGTGGTTGGGGGCTGGAGCGATAGCACAGCGGTAGGGCGTTTGCCTTGCACGCAGCCAGCATGGCCGACCCAAGTTTGATTCCTCCACCCCTCTCGGAGAGCCCGGCAAGCTACCGAGAGGATCTCGCCCGCACGGCAAAGCCCGGCAAGCTCCCCATGGCATATTCGATATGCCAACACAGTAACAAGAAGTCTCACGATGGAGACGTTACTGGGCCCGCTTGAGAAAAATCAATGAACAACGGGAGGACAGTGACAGTGACAGTGATATAGTGTTGTCATTACTTACTCATTAATTCCTCTTTTATACCAAGAATATAAAAATAAAGAATATTCTAGGTTCATCTTTAAGGCTCTGAACAAAAGCATGGGGCAATTGGAGTAACCCAGATTGGTTTTCTTTGTACTCAGTCAATGATCTATTAACACAACTTGAGCTTAACACCAACCAGGACTCCTCTAAACTAACAGAATTAATGTTGCTTTGATTTTTTTTTCATGTGTCTGTTGCTTTAAACTTATTGTCTTTTACTCACTTTTTGCTAATTTTGCCTTTTAATTCTTTCCCTCTCTCTTTCTAAATCAGGTTTCTTCTGAAACATTCTCAGTCTATTCTGGACTTTTCTACAGCTTCTTTACCTGAACTCTAAAAGAGTATGTGTTTCATAGTTTCTGACTGTACCAAAGCTTGTTTTCAGGGGAACATAACTGTAAGTATGACTGGAGATGATAATATTATCTGCATTAAATAAATGCCCTAAAGATTTTGTGGTAAGCTTGCACAGTAATGTTTTCTCTTAAAAATCATCAAAAGTAGGCCATCTCTCTCTCTTCCTTGAATGTTTACTCTTTGTCTTGATGCAAACTTATAGAGCCTTTGAGGCTAAATGCATGAATATATTACTGAGTATTTCACATTAGGCAGTTCATGACCTGAAATCAATAGTCTTTGCGTAAATCTTCCTCGTTTGTCTTTATGGTTTAACCAGAGTTCCTTCTTTATTTCTTTCTTATTTAGAAACCTTATGCTTGTCAAATTCCGGGATGTACCAAACGCTACACAGATCCAAGTTCCCTAAGAAAGCATGTGAAAGCACATTCTTCCAAAGATCAGCAAGCAAGAAAAAAGGTAATATTTAAAAAGCATTTATTCACATATAAAAAAAAGAAAGTTTATGCGCTTTAAAATTTCTTCTGTTGAACTGGGAGGCTCTATAGAGCATTGGAAATTCATAGACTTTTTAAAGTATAACATGGCTAAAATTCTTTGAAGTCAGAAGTCCTCCATGAAGTAAGAGCAATGCTTAGGGCTTACATAGCTGATAGAACCAGATATGCATTTCTTGGGAAAGCTGTGTAATAGGAATCAGAGAAAATCAGTGATTATTACCTATATTGAAAAGTAACAAGGCTTTTAAGTACAAATAGCTAAAGAAAATTGAATCAGAAAAAAATGACAATAACTTTTTTAGAGATAATGCTTTATTTTAAAAACATCAATTCATTAAAAATCATTTTAGCTCTGTGACTGAAGAGCTAAATTGATTTTAAGTTTTTAAAATTGTTTTAAGTCTTGTCCTGTATGCAGCTGACCTAGGTTCAATCTTCAGCATCTTCTGTTTCCCTCAGCCCTGACATGAGTGTTGCCTGTGTGTAGATCCAGGAGTAAGCCCTGAGCACCAGCAGGTGTGGCCTAAAAACGAACAGACAATAAAAAGCAGCAGAAAATCAGTTTAGCTCTGATTAAAAAGGAAGTAAATCTCTAGAATGAGTAAATGTATAGCACTTGAAACTTAGAAACAGATTTCTTAATAGGTACCATGCATGGAAGTCTGAAAAAAAAAGAAATAAACTAAAACTTACTCTGACATTAGTCAGGATTGAAGAATCTTTTGAAGTTTTATAGAAATTATAATATCTCTTTTGGAAGAAGAGATTCATCCAGTCCACCTAACTTGTTTGCCCAACCTCGTAAGACCTTTTGGAAATGATTGGATGATATGCTTCAAACACCTTAAGAGATGAGGAGTTTACTACCTGTTAAGGAATTTCTTAATAACTGAATATGTAGACTTCAGGACCAACATTATCTTCTGACTATGGAAATATAATATACTGACCTGGCAGTGGCCTTTGAGTGTTTTGTTTGTGTTCAGATAGATTCCTTCATTGAAGGACCTTCATAAAAAATTATAGCAAGTTCAAGACAATTTATATCAAGTGATGGAAATCCATGCCATGGTTAAAGCCTACGGCTATGGTTTTTAGGTTACTGTGGTAACTAAAATCTTGAATTCTTTCATGGTTTATAGGATTTAACACTTGTGTGGGGGAAATGCTCTGTAGTCTTTTTGTTACTTGAGCTTTTTCTTTTCTTTTTTTTTTTTTTGAGAGGTGTTAGCACAATGGCAGTTGAAGGCTCATACCTGGAAAGAACTTGACCTCTTAACTTGAGTTAGAAAAATGCCCAGTTAGAAGCATTTTTTAGATATTCTTAATTGCGTGCAAACCCACTTTTATAAGTCAGTGAATAAAATAACTTTCCTTTAGGCATATAGTTAAATTTTATTATTTGAACCTTAGTAAATTGCTAACAGATGATGATAATAGCAGGAATTATCATTAACAATGATAATAGATTATCGTTCCATATAGATTGACTATATTCCTAGATTTTAGAACAACACTGGCATGATTAAATAATTTAATAATGTAAATAATGCAAATTTAATAATGTAAATAATTTAATAATGTAATACAGAAGATGCATAATATTCTTAAAATAGCACACCATCATTTTTACTGTAAACTGTATTCAGTGAGAAAATTTAATGATTTTTGTCATTATTTGCATATTTCTTATAAACTCCAATTGGTAAGTTATGTGCTTTTTTTTTTGAAAAAAAGAAAACGCTTTTGTTGAGTTCTTCCCCCTCTAAATATGAGGGGGAAATTAAGTCATTCACCATCCTCAAGTGTTAATATAATAACAGTATGTAAAGATCAAAACTTTTGAGATGGTAACAATAGCCATGAAAATGAAGGACCATGTAAGTGGCGTATGAGGACCAATAAGCAGCAGCATGATATTAGGTTTAAGAAGGTACCAGAAACTTAGCTAATAGGTACAGACACATAACATAATATTTAAAGAATTGGTAATGGTTTCTATTGTCCAGAGACAATGGTTTGTTTCAATTTCTGCATAAAAGAACTGTAGTTCTGATTGTGTGAAAGAATCTTGAAACCCATCTTCAAATTCAATTTAAAAAAGAAAACCACACCTCAAGGTTACAAAATAATAGATTTTTAGGCAATTTTCAGATAACCTTCGACTAGATAATGAGCGTAGACTTCCTCGAATAGTAGTATAATCTAATGTCAGATGTTTCAAGACTCTCTTAATTTTTTTACATAAAATCAGGGGGTATTGCCCCTCAAAAGACTTAACCTTTGATACATTGCTTCCTGCTGATGGTTGAACTGGATTTGGTTGAGTCTCTTTGAGACCTTTACTTTAGAAATTTTAACCTTTTTAATCTGAAAACGTTTTAAATCTATGATGAATTGATTTGTGGAAATTGAAATGTTGAAAGTTGCTCTGGCCAGTAAGAAAAAAGAAATGTCACTCTTAGGAGAAGTGCCGATAAACCTGAAATCAACCGTCCACATTTTCAAAGCTTGCGCAAGCATACCAGTGTGTAATATTTACATGATTCAATGTTGTTACTAGACCTTGGAGAGAGTCTAATTACTAACTCACATCAGGGCTTGGTATTTGAAATATTTCCTGGCAGCAATCATAAGAAAAAAAAGTAAGAAACAATAAACCTTTTAAGGCAGAATTAAGATTATTTACGACTTTAATTAAAAATTGAAAACTGGCATTATTTCAAAAAAGCCTCTACAAAAATGTGAATTCATCAAAAATGACCATAAAAATTCCAAGGTGATAAAGGCACAGTGGAGTAATGGTCCCAGCCCTAGGGAATTGTTTTGTTGAAAAGAATAAAACCCTTTTCTGTCACACCCTGTTAGTCATGGACTCCTTTAATATACCCTGCCTTCCTCTAATCCTCTTTTTAGCCTCCCCCTAGACACTAAATGACATTATTTTGGTCCTAATGTTTCTGGCTTTATGAGGCCTTTCTCAGAAATCAGGCCCAGTAACAAGGCACTCTCAGCCTTCAGGGGGTGCCGAGGTCTCTAAGTATTGCCCTGGCCGTGGGCTTGTGGCTCTGTTCCCACACCTGTCGATCCTGTTTAAAGCTAAGACAAAGCTGAGTATCTCAGCTAAATATTATTTAAGATGGGAATAAGAAGAGGGGAAGCACTCTCCTGCAAAGGATAATTTGGCTCATTGTATGCGGAAAGTAACTTTTCTCTTTGCCTAATGCGTGCACACCCACACATCCCATCAGCTGATGTGCCCACGTCTTTCAAATGTGCTTTGCAAATCTCAGGTCCATTAGACAGAGGGCTATACAGATAAACCAGTAGGGAAATACACACGTCACCTGCTGTGGCCTCGGGTGGGGATAGCATTTAGTCTGTAGAGCAAAAGGCCAAATCTGCCCTTCAATCTTGTCTGAGAGTGGGAGACGACTGCAACATTTGTGGGATATTAAAAAAAAAAAACAGTATGAGACTAACACCCACGAACAGTAGAAAGAGGGCTAGGACGAATGGTCTGTGCTTGGAAGCCCGCCTCCAGGGCTGGGGGAGAAGGCAGTTGGGATAGAGAAGGGACTATGATGACAATGATGGTTAGAAGGGATCGCTCGGGATGGGAGATGTGTGCTCAAAGTGGATAAAGGACCAAACATGATGGCCTCTCTGTCCCTGTCTTGCAAACCATAAAGCTCAAAAGGAGAGAGAAAGAGGGAGAGAGAGAGAGAGAGAGAGAGAGAGAGAGAGAGAGAGAGAGAGAGAGAGTGCAAGGGATGAGAAAGAAAGGAGGGAGAGAGAGACAGACAGAGAGAGAGAGAAAGGGATGAGAAAGAAAGGAGGGAGAGACAGAAAGAAAGGGATGAGAAAGAAAGGAGAGAGAGAAAGACAGACAGAGAGAGCCTGCCATAGAGGTGGGGGGGGGGGGCTGGCAGGAGGAACGCAGGGGATATTTCTGGTGGAAAAGGGACACTAGTGGAGGGACGGGATAGGTTTAGAACATTGTATGACTAAAACCTAATCACAAAAGCTTTGTAATTATATCTAACGGTGATCCAATAAAAAAATAAATAAGTAAATAAAAATTTATTTTTTAAAAAAGAGAAAGCTAAAGCAATAGGCCACTTGAAATTCTCCCTTGCTTTATCAGAACTTTTTATTCTCATCTCTGAAGTCCATACGCAGGGGTGTTCTTTCAGTTCTCGCCTATTATCCAAAAGGACTTTTTAGAAGTGAATGCAAAGAATCCTTGACCAAAATTTTAAAGAGACACAAATCTTTTGTTAAGTTCACACTTCCACAGAAACTCAGAACTTTGGATGTGATTTGTGAAATGTTTGTTAAATGTCCACCTTTGACCGATAGTAGTTGATGACTTTGGCAACCTCAATACAGGTTGGTATTTAAAAAAATAAAATAAAAAAGCACAACATTGAAACCTGTGAATGCAATGTATCTGCATTTCCTACTAAGAGAACAGCTCTGGTTAACTTTCGGACTAAAATAAAGCAGCTGATTTAATGAAACTCTCTTCATGCTAAAGTGGAATTCTTTGAAATCTGTTCAGTCACCACCACGGCAAACTCAAAACTACCCACAGTTTCTTTATGTACTGTGTATGCTCACATCTGTGCAGTTGAGAATGAGAAATGATGTATCTTCCCCTAAATGGAAGCAAAAAAAAAAAAATGAAAGAGCAGGTGAGATTCATTCTTCTCTCAGTTTTCTATCATTATTTACAGGGCAAACAGTATGTACGATCAGGTATCTTCCCAAATGTGGATAATCTTTCCCTCCCCACCTCATCCCGCCCTCCCTTCTTTCCTTCCTTTCTTCCTCCTCTCCCTTCCTTCTTCTACCTCCCCTCTTTTTCCCTCCTTTATTCCATTTCTTCTCTCAGGATTAAATTAAAAACCATTACTACTCTTAGTGGAATTTTAGTGATATGCATATTCATGACCATTCAATTCAGTGTGGACTAGCTCCATTATACCCCCATGTTTCTCTCACAGTTAATAAATCATGTCGGAAGGTGAGTGAGAGTAATACTAGTATAGGGGTAATGTTAAAACAGCACTACTACTTTTTTAAAAGCTGGGTCATATTTAACTTCTATTCTTTACCAATTGTTCCTGATCAATTGCTTAAGTCATACGTAAAAGGATGGTATTGTCCTGTCTGAATATCCTGATGCCTGAGGTAACAGTAACTGATTTCAAGATAGGCACTGGTGGTGGTGGTGGTGGGGGGGGGGGGGGGGTTATGCTTTTGTAAAACAAATAATTCCGGTTAAAAATAGCTATACTAATTATAATGAAATTTAAATGATAAAAACAAGTATTTTTAAACTTAACCTTACGCCAATAGGCATGAACTGGAGTTGAAACCAATCTCTTGCTTCTTTGTGAAAACCTAGTGGTGCCAGTGCTGCTTTCTAAAGTATTTTTCAGTTCTGCTGCACAGTAATGCAGCTACTAAAACGGAATTGAGAATTCGCATTTTTGTGGTGGTGTGCTGGAAGAGTAG